CCACACCTGCTGAAGATGGGGAAGCGGAACGCCAAACCACGAATCCAGATACAGGAACCTGGCAAACGATCAAGCGGAGCAAAGGTCATCCTTCGACAACTATCGAACGAACATCCCGCCCGCAACAACTGAAAAGTACCAATAACCGATCAACGGGGTATCAACCAGGCAAAACGGCAGCTGAAGCAGCTGCCGAAGACAACGGAGGGTCCAAAAAGCAACGGGGACGTGGCCACAACACGCCCAACAAAACGCTACCGTCGTCAGAGTCTGCCAAAGCAAAACACTCTGCTCAGCGTTACAAAGAAACTTGCGCCGTATACGCAGCGTTAGAGGCTGAAAATGAAGAAGACAACGTGACCGCAAAACAGGAATCTCAGTCGGACGCGGTGTCTCCTCACAAGTCGAACGACCAGCAGACAGTTGCGGCTAACAACCCCTCTGCCTCAATCAGCGAAGTTGATCCGGACATTAACATGGAGGTGACTTTGCCATTGCCAAATGCAGCTCCAAGCGAGGCACCGATTGCAAACGTACATAGTCCATTATCAGAGATGCAGCCTTCGCAAGAGCCTTTCGGCCAAGATGCCTCTCCTGAAACACTACAGTGCATGGAGGTTGATGAAGTGGTAGCAGCATCAATATCAACGTCGACAGAGACACAGAAGGACGGTGCTTTGACTTGTGATGCTTCGCCTGCCTTGGTCGAGATCGTGAAAGTAGTGAAAGCGCCTACAACAGATCAACTCACGGTGAACGAATGGATCGGGAGTCTCAAAGGAGCACCGGTATTGGTGCCAGCGAACGGTCAATGTGTATTCGCAGCGCTGTTCGCAACGTCGACGAATATGCCGCTGGAAAAACTCACGTATACAACCGAGGTGGTAAACAAAATCAACCAAATCAAACAAGCGGTTCTAGATGTTGTCCTTGCCAATCTTCGGTATGACGTGCAACTAGAGCTGGTTGATCCAGTGCTCGAACTGCGACGGCTGTATCCAGATGATCCAGCGCCGGGTACTTCTGACGCTGCTATAGCAACTTTATATGCGCATTATGCGGCGGCACAACAAACTTCGGTGACTGTACAAGTGCCCCAAGCCTTCTGGGAAGGAACTCACATTCTGCGTGCAATGGCAGTATACTTAAGAGAACCGCTCTACGTATGGGATGTACATGCAGACAGTATTGCCCACGTCCAGCAATATAACTATCAGGTTTATACGATGCCGAATGGAGACAAGCACGAGACTGGATACGTGCAGCCACTCCCAGATTCGATCACCCGCGAATTTGTGGAGCTCTGTTTTCATCATCATGTCATTCCTCCCATGCTCTTGCTCAAACACACCGAAGGACATTTCTATGGTGTACAACACGGAGATCTTTTTGCCACTTGGGACAACGAAGACGGTCCAACAATGCGCAACCGGCTTGACATGGTCCACAGAGCCATGAAATGGCCTTTGGCGGATGCGGTCCCGTACGACCCGAACGCACTCCATGACGTTGCCACCGCTGAGGAAGAAGCCATTTTGGAAGACATGGGTCTAGACGTATATGCGAGTGGTTCACAAGTGACTGAGGTCAGAGATACGCACATGAATGTACAGCGGATAGAACCAAGTGTGGAGGCGCAGGCTTATTCGACAGCATACGAACGCATCCTAACTTCGGCAAACATTGATGATGCTTCGATGGCAGATCGACGTAAAGCCCGACTAATGCACAGAGACAACACCGCGGCGGCTGAACGCTGGGTGGCACTTCATGGAGCTCGCCATGCAGCACCTACAGGTGGTTGGGTCTGGGCAGATCGATTTGACTGGCTCACGGCTCATCCCCTCGCATTCCGCTCGGTCCTCGCATTTGTTCCCTTCCCGGAACTAGTAGTCCAGCAATGCTCTCCAGCCCAGATGTCTCGTTGGGGCCGAAATGAAGTCTATATACAGCAAACGCAAATGCTCAGACGTATCAGCCTAGACGAAGAACACGACGACGCGACTCGTGCGTACTGCAAGTCTTGGCACCAAGCCTGTGATGGAGCTTTGACGCAGACAAATCTATCACTTGCGAAAGACAGCGACCGCTGGAATCGCCTCGGGCAGATGGTCGACTCTGCTCTTCTGCGCAATCGACCTGTATCGATAGATACTGAACATTGGGAAATCTTGCACACACTACCCTATGCTATTCGCACGTGGCCCCAAACAGTAATGGGCCGTGCAGATCTAGCGTCAAGAGCAATTTGGTATTTGAAATTCCCTCAAGTTGAGAATCTGTGTAATGACGTTGCAGCGTCAAAAAACTGGAGCGGTATTGCCAATCTACCGATTGGCATGGCGCGGATGGACTCGAGTCTCTCTCTCACTCAAGTAGAAAGGAGACTGGAGCCGTCTGTGCGTCGGAACTAAAGGCAGCTCGGCTGCCTACCCCCAACGAAAACGCAGACTGATAACGCTGGGGGACTTTTTCCCGGTTCTCTCCAGTCAAGACCGAGAAAAAGATATACGCCGTGACTTTAAACGGCACCGAAACAACTGGTTGCGTGAACAACGCACTCGAGAGCAAGCCTCAAATGGTCGATGTCGGGGACGCACCACAGCAGCACTGCATCCTGATGAAGTGACAATTGGACTCCTATCCCAGAATGTTCGTGGATTTGGTACTGATTCAGCTACTCGCGCAGACTGGATCGCCTCGTTCAAGCAGCAGCACACTCATGGACACAACGACATAATACTACTGCAAGAAACGCATATTACCCCTGAAACTATCGCAGAAGTGGAACAGGAGCAGGCCAGACAATGGGGATATCGCAACGGTATTGACAGCCCGACATTGTCGATATGGTCGCCCGGAACTAGTCGCGCAGGTGGGGTAGGAATGTTGATTCACCCCCGAAGTCGAATCGAGAACATCGCTCCTGTCTTCGAACACTTCTGGTCACCACATTTCATGGCAGTGCAAGGGGTCTTGGAGGGACACGAGATATACGTGTTCAATGTATATGCCCCAACTGACAGACAAAGCCGAGAAGAGTTATTCACTTGCCTTATTGACATTGTGGTGCCTCACGGAGCCTTATTTTATGCTGGTGGTGATTTCAACTGCACGCTTCATGGAATTACAGACCGCTCGTATGCCGCGACCGCTAACGACCATGATTCGCCAGCTCTCCGACGTTTGCTGGAACATTGGGGTCTGCAAGATAGTATTGGGCTATTGCTTCCTGACGGCAACGCAAAAGGTTCTCTCCCTCTTTTCTATGAACGATATCACACATACCATTACATGATTTCTGGTGAACTGGAATCTAGCAGACTCGATCGCTGGTATGTCAATGGTGGCGCGCATGCTTGGGCAGTGCTAACAGAAACAGCATCACCCAATCTGCGCAGTGATCATAAAAGTGTACGTCTCCATCTACGATCCCCAACCAATCCATTGCGGATCAAGAAAGATCAACAAGTCTATCCAGTGCCGCATTATGCGCAGGCCCGCGTAGATGCATTCGTCAAAGGAGAACTCGCTGAGCTGGCGCGTCAACTAGATGAGGAAGATCTAACTCCCCATGACGCTGCATTACGATGGGATGCCCTCAAGGCACGATTAATACCGGGGATGATCGCGGCAAAGCACAGAGCTCGAACAACGCTTCATCGTACTTATCGACAAAAGCTACAGCGTCTTCATAAGCAGCACCAGCAAGCACTGCAGGCAGCGCGGGCGGGTAGATTCATTGTCGGTCGAGCAACTGAGTCAACCACCGCAGTAACCCATCTCGCAAGAGTCATTACAATTACGAACAGGGAATGGATCCGCGCGAAACGTGAACGACTATTTCGCACGCATACATGGAGGAAAGGCAAGACGACGAAGGCTTTTTTTAAGCGCATTTCCTGCAAATTTGCTGACAATTTCATCCCAACTTTGCGACCTGCTAATGAGTCCCCCAAGAGGAACATGCATGATAAAGCTGAAATCCTCGCGGATGCGTGGACCCCTGTTTTTCAAAGTGTGAAGCCGCAAATGGACAAGATTGCAGCAGTCACGGATTGGATGGACCCGGGCTCAACGGAGGATACACAGCATCTGTCTAACGCTGAATTTATTACTGAGGCAGCAGTCACAACAGCGATTAACGCTTGTAAGCTGGGTAAAGCCTGTGGACCCGATCGACTGGGGAATGACTGGTACAAAGCGTATTCTTCTATACTAACTCCTATTTTGACAAAATTATACAAGCTCTGGTACGACTCTGGGCATTTCCCGGCATCTTTTCTCCAGGCTAACATTTTCTGCATTATATACACAATACACTGTTATTTTGCATGCTTTACTAAATTATAAATGCTATACATAATCTGTCCCACTTACCCAACTTACTCAACTACAAGAAGAAAGGGGATGGCAGCGATCCACTCAACTACAGGCCACTAGCATTGCTCAACACGGACTACAAGATATTGACGAGGCTACTCACCACAGTCCTCTGCCCTACACTGGAGTCACGAATCTGTGCTCAACAGAATGGGTTTGTGCCTGGTCGCGATATTCACACAACAATCGACTACTTCATGGCAGCCCAACGTGTGGCAGCTACCTCGTCTGAACATCGCAACGCGCTTGCGCTATTACTTGATTTTGCCAAGGCGTATGACTCGCTTGAACGGGATTTTTTATATAGTGCTCTTCTCCGGCATGGGTACCCGGCGCACTTTGTCAATGTCATCAAGAACCTCCATACTGGGACAACAATCCGCTTTCTAGCGAATGGATATCGGTCGCGAAAGCTGCTAGTCACAAGAGGAATCAGGCAGGGTTGCCCGTTGGCCCCATTATTGTTCATTTTGGCACTGGAACCGCTGTATCAGCGAGTGATTCGAGACCCTTCCTTGCCTGGAGTAGTCATCCGTACACAAACTGCAACTATCAGACTTGGGATTGCAGGATATGCGGACGACACCGCCATCTATATACGGACACCGGACGGAGTCATGCTAGTGCTGATGATCACAGATCTCTTCGGAGAAGCATCTGGATTGTGTCTAAACCGTGGCAAAACAATAGCCATCGCGCTTCACAGAGACGGTCTTACATCAGATACAACTTGGGTATGGCCCATACAACTCCAAGGTGTTACTCAAAGATGCAGATACTTAGGGATCCAAGTAGGCAGCCGCCCCGATGTGATGGCGATGTGGCACCTTGCAGGGAAACAACTCCAAGTCCGCCTGCACCTCGCAAGCCAAAAACTTCTGTCGACAGATCAAAGATCAAGGGTGGCAGCAGCGGTGATCATCCCTAAGTTACTCTTTATAGCTCGTCATGCCTGGCCAACCACGGAGATTGTCGCTCTGTTTACCGATCGCATTGCGGCTTTTATATGGGGCGGCACTTTTGACGAACCTGAATCCCTAAAAGCATGGCTTGCGCGCGATGCAACACGCCTACCTCGGCGGGAAGGAGGATTGGCAGCCCCAGATCTCAAGGCAGAACTTCTAGCAATGGCTGCCACGACTGTAACTCGATGGGCGACGACATCCACCACCACAGAGCTTGTTGTTGGAGACATGCTGGCACCACGACTCGCTATGGATCAACCACCCCCAGTCTATATCACTCCGGGTCATAGCCCCAGACCGGTTGACGGCTTTCGCGAGACACAATCTCTATGGTCTGCTGGGATCATGATGATTCGGGCGGCCGGAAGTGCACCACCAGCAGATGGACATGGCGCTTTAGTAGCGGAAGTGTACGCGTCAGTGCACTCATTGGTGCAAACAAGGTTGAAATGGAATGGCAACACAGCGGAAATTATGATCCCGGTCGCGTTTCGAGAGAAAACGGCAGCATTGAGGGATTTTTTCCACCATCATTATGGCATCTTCCGAAGCGAGTGGCTTCCCTACGCTGAACTGGATCGTCTCCCAATGTACGATGCCACAGGCTCCCGATGTCACATCGGAGAGGCTTTCCCCGGAATGACCTGGGACGGACAACAAATCCAAAAACTCTTAACCTGGACTCACCATTCGTGGGGATTAACCATCAGATCGCGGCAACACAGCAACGAAAGCGCATTACAGCACTTAGTTGTGTTGCTGCTTGCAAATTACCCCACTCTCATGCTGCGAGATAGGTATGAGACCGAACTACGGCTGTCCGCAGATCCGGTAGACCACCCGATCCACGCCAAGGTATCCTCACTTGCTGATGAAGATACAGTGCGGCAGCTCACAATAGAGGTCTCTGCACAGGAAGCAGCTTACGAAACCACTATTGCGAGTAGGCACGCAGCTCTCCGGGAGATCACTGCCTATGCAGGGGAGGAGGTCAGGGTCCATGCGATACATCCGCACCCGCTTCTCGATCGACTTGTGTGTCTATGGGCTGGAAAACGGAGATGGAAACAACCCCGGCACGTATACAAAACCGCATCTCAATTGGCTGCCCGAGCCCGAGGAACGCGAAATATCGAACGCCGAATGCAGGACTGGAAAGCTGAGGATGAGGACATATATCGGTCCATCTCCAGCTTCAGCTGGTTGGAACTCCGGCGCATAACTGGATCATCTGTCTGGGGAGAGCAAGTACTCCATCGCCTCAAACTGCGTGCATTCCGTCAATGGGACCCAACTACGGGTCAACCTGGCTGTCCAATTGAAGAGTGTCATACCTTTGTACCAGGGCTTGTGCACCTCTTTTGGAAATGCCCTGCGGCATCAACGCTTTGGAACACATTTCATGAAGCATGGCGGATACAAGGTCTGATGGTTAACGAGCTCTCGAAGTTCACTATTGACCTACCCAACGTGCCAACAGAGATGTGGACTCGACTCGATCGCGCGTACGCAAACGTGACACAACAGGAGCGCAATGCAATTGCAGCTGAGATATATGACGTGATCAATGCGTTCTGGAGGATCGGAACAGTGACAACGCTACAGGCGATTTGGCGCCGTAGATGCTCTTACTGGACCTCAGCGGGTATCATCACTGCCGATGTAGCACCTGCAATTCTGCGTGGACGACTTACTAATGGATATGCCACTGTTCGACACCATCTCTTTGAGCAAACGGACAATTTAGCCTGCAAACGTGCTATCATGCTGGTCTCAGGTGCACTAGCAACAGATAGCAACTATCCAACCCAGACGGTGCCACGGACACTGTCCTCTCTGAATAGAACTTGCACGCACGTGCTATTCTTCGATGGAGGTTCACGAGGCAACCCGGGCCCGGGAGGCTCCGGAACGGCTCTAGTAGAAGTGAACCTGGAGACCCGGTCAACATGCATTAAATGGCTGGCCAGTGTCTCTTATGCAGCGCGGAGCACAACTAACAATGTTGCGGAATACTGCGGACTATTGACGGGGCTTCGCTATGCTCACAGAGCTCACATCAGCAACATACATGTAGTTGGAGACAGCAAGCTCATTCTCAACCAAGTCTCTCGTCGATCCCCACCCAGGGCCGCACACCTCAAGGGACTCTACGCACAATGCCGGATGCTAGCCGATCAAGTTGCAGTGAGCACCTGGACGCATCATCTACGCAGATTCAACAAAATGGCAGACGGACTTGCGAACATTGCCATGGACAGGAAAACTAGTACGCAGATATTTCCAAGCGACATAACGTTCCTAAAGGAACCATGGACAACAGTGAGCGATTCTCTCCAAGGGGACATCGAACACTGGTTTGACCTGAAAGAGGGTGCAGGGACCCTTAATCCCAACGAAGGCGTTCCTTAAGCGGATCGCATGCGCTGGCATGAGCTCATGCCGTAGCCAGCAAGCTGTCTGTTGATGTATAGGCAACAGATGGAACGGACATTAGCTAGGTCGTTAGAAACTAAGTGACTGCAATGTACCTCACCTTCAAAACTAAAACTACTCCAGGCCGTAAGTGTATCCGGTGTGATTTTCGACTTGAACAGACCTGAAAATGTCTTGATACCAGGTAGCGATTTTAGATTTATGCCCCGTTCTTCGCCAGCGTCGTTGTTTGTCCTTAGATGCCTCTCGGTGCGTTGGTTCACAATAAAAGTTTCAGTTGATATCCGAAGTCTAGCAGTTTTGGAGCCTGGTGCTGCGTCGACACTTGAAAAGACGATGGTAGCAGCCAACAATATGAGATGGTGGAATTGCATTGCGGTCTAGAGATCAAAACTCAAACTGTCAGATTAATTTGAGGAGCAACATGGAACACCAGTAATAACCAATAAAGATTATGACAAGAGATACAGTGTACAGCATCGCAGGATAATGCCTATGCGAAATCTCAACATCTTCGGTGTTTTTGACCACAGGAATGCGCAAAGTTGTTTGATTGTACGTATACCAAGCGTTGAAACATGTTTTCTATTGTGAACTTACCCTAAACAGAGGTCCACATCCACAGAACAGGAAAAGATGCATTGCTATGGAATACACCCCTAAACCAGTTACCGGAACTGATGGTAGGCTTGTAACTCGCACGCTCGATGACTTTCGCTTCGTAAAGTCGAATGTCTTTGACGAAAAGACAATCACCGTACCAGTTGTTACAGTAAATTTGGCAATGTCCGCGTCTGCACTCCATCGAAGCTTGAAAACACGACAATAACAGTCAACAATACGGCGATATCGTTCGCGGTCTTGATACCGGTAGCAAATCTTAAACTGACCGATTGTAGTCGTCCGCAATCATATGAACATCATCATGATGACCAGGAGATAGGATATGTAAGCTTACTGTATGTTTGGAAAAGGTTACTTATCCCTACTGTACCAATACGATCGAGTTTTTAAGCATAATTAAGCGTTGGCTTCTTCCATCATACATTTGTACAGTTCAAAATGTACCTAATAACTAAAGCTTGTACACAGCAATGCTATGAGACTGCATACATGGCGAAAATAACACGATACATATTAATTAAAGCTTATCATGCACTTGTCTTTCATAACCAACTATTCACGCAGCGTCTGCCCAGAAGTCGTAACAGATTCTTGTAATAAGAGATCCTCCACCATAGCTCCTAATGCGATCACATCGTCTTCATAAGAATCGATCACGAGGTTCGTTAGCAGACCAATTTCATCTTGTGGCAACGATGCTGTACAGTCCACGCGTTTTGGTACAATATGCACGCAGTTCTGCATGACACAACCCGAGAGACCAAGCCCAGAATCTGGTGGAATTCGTTTGAGGACACTCCATCCAGTTTCGTCCGTGTACATTCCTGAAAATTCATCTTCTCCGCGCGATACAGAACGCCACACAATTGCCAGTCGATTTCGTTCGACGTAGCGACCCATAACCATCACAGTATCTAAGCAAGTATCAACTCCACGCCGCTTGCACTGGCTCCGAAATTTCACTGCAATCGTATCTTCAGGTCGTTCTATCACTCCTTCATGGGAATGATACCGGTTTTTACTGTACTGCCGCTTTACCGCATACCACATCGCTGACGCTGCCTTGTCAAAGTCAAATGGGATGATATTCACGTCCTGCAGTTCAGCATACAGTTCATCCTGATCTTCCGATCCTTTTCTCGTTCTCACGTACGCTTTCCTCAACGAGTCATCCACCGAGGTCTCCATCCCATTCTGATGGAAAATAGCGTCCATCTGCGCATACAAACCGTCCAATTCACTTAAAAACAACTCATACATACTGCTGGAGTCATCACTTCCACGGTAAAGTCTCTTCTTCGGGGAACTTCCGGTCCCTTCACGGAACACCGACACATTTGGCCGTTTATGCAGCACCTGTTCCAGTCTCTGAGCCAGTTGAATCTGCCCTTGTAGCACGGACTTAAGTCTCTTATTCTCTGCTTCAGATTCTTCTCGTCCTTGAGCTTGACGTTGAGCAATTCTCTGCCACACTCGAGCACTGGGTCGTCCGTGG